GCTCTTTCCCCCCCCGTCCCGTTCCCTCCACAGGGATTCCCGCGCCGCAGGAATTGCCGCTGGTGAGCGTTTGCCTTCCAGAGCCTTCCCCGGCCGTCCTCCTCCTCTTCCTCGCCCTCCCCAGCTGCCGGGGGGTTTCCCCGGGGGAGGACGGTCCATCCTCAGCCCCTCTGACCTTTCCCTGGCTCTGGGGCAGGAGCAGCCCCGTCCCCTCCTGCCCCCTCCAAACTCCCGCTCTCTGCTGCTTTCTGCGCTCGCTGTTCCCTGTCCCGGGAAGGAGGAGGCTGGGAATTAGGGGTAGAGCTCTCTGGGTAAGTTTGTGGGGTCCCAAAAGCTGCTGGAGCATCCATGAGCAGGACAGGGTAGCAAAGGCAGAGGGATGAGCTGGAGGGACACGCTCAGGTGGGAATGGCCGGTGCCTGGGGCAGGCGTGGTGGCAGCCAGGGGACCTGCACTGAGAGGTGCCACAGCAGAGGAGAAATCCCAGGAGAGCCCACGAGGCTGGAACACAGAGGATCCGAGATGAGATCCCACGTGGGAACCGAGAGTCTCCGTGTGGGTACAGGTGGAATCTGAAGTGCAGGGATGAAATGGTGGCTGGAGGAGATCCAGATGGGAATCTGACCACTGTGTGGAGCCTGAGTGTCATCCCTCTGGAGAGGAGCCTTGTCCCTGGCTCAGGAAGAGGGGGGATGGCTGGAACAGGCTCCTGTTGGGTCTCTGAGTCAACAGATGTCTGTCCCTGCCCAAAGAGCAGCAGGACCTTCAACTGCCTCTGGCAGAGTCAGTGGCTTTTTGTTTTGAGTTTGTCCCTTTGTGCATCCGCCCCTTCACTTCTTAAAAAGTTGGTCTGTGAGGTGACAAGGCAGGTTCAGTCCCTTTCCAGCTGAGCAGCTGCTCTGTGGCTCATCCAGAAGGTGTAAAATGGGAGGTATGAGCAGAATGGTGTTACTTTGGTTGTTTAAGTGCTGCTATTTTTCTGCATTTCCCCTCTCCAGAGCCCCTTGCCCTGCCACTCCTGGCTGCCCAACACCTCCTGCTCCCGCCGCTGATGAGGGTGTAAAGGCCAAGCTGACCGGGAGGAGGGACTCTCAAGCAGCTGCTAAGATGGGCATGAGGATCAAGCTGCACAGCACCAACCACCCCAACAACCTGCTGAAGGAGCTCAACAAGTGCCGGCTCTCCGAGACCATGTGCGACGTCACCATCCTGGTGGGCTCCCGCTCCTTCGCCGCGCACAAGGCCGTGCTGGCCTGCGCCGCCGGCTACTTCCAGAACCTCTTCCTGAACACGGGGCTGGACGCTGCCAGGACCTACGTGGTGGACTTCATCACGCCGGCCAACTTTGAGAAGATCCTGAGCTTCGTGTACACCTCGGAGCTCTTCACAGACCTCATCAACGTGGGCGTCATCTACGAGGTGGCGGAGCGGCTGGGCATGGAGGACCTGCTGCAGGCCTGCCACTCCACCTTCCCCGACCTGGAGAGCTCGGCCATCACCAAGCAGCCCTCCCTGTCCGTGGGGGAAGGCCGGGCAGGGCCGCTGAGCAGCACCTCCTCGGAGCAGAGCCACTCCCTGGGTGACATCCGGAGCAGCACCGAGCACTTGGGCCCCGAGCGGAATTACGTCCTGCACGGGGACGCGTCGGGCGGCTACAAGGAGGACGACAGGAACCCCGTGGGTGAGGCCAGCCAGGCTCTTCCCCTGATGCATCCACAGCAGCCTCCCAAGACGGAACAGGGGCCGGATCCGGGGCAGTTCGCTCCGGCCGTGGGTCTGGGGGCCCAGCCCGGCGGGAACGTCGCGGCACAGACCACCGGCAGCTCCTGCTCCCAGTACAAGGCCCAGAGCAACGGCGACTACGGAAAGGGCGGCTTCTTCCCCACCGATCCGTCCCTGGATGTCTCCATGGGGAGCAACTCCTGCCCCAGCAACAGTGACCACTCCAAAGAGCAGGGGTTCGAGCAGATGGATGAGCTGCAGCTGGAGGATCTGGGAGAGGCCGAGCTGCATTTTGAGGATGCTGGAGAAGAGCTGGGCCCTTCCGAGGAGGTGATTGAGCTGAGCGACGACAGTGAGGAGGAACTGGCCTTCGAGAGCGACGGCCGGGACAGCAAGGCCATGCCCTGCCAGGTCTGCAAGAAGGTGCTGGAGCCCAACATCCAGCTGATCCGCCAGCACGCCAGGGACCACGTGGACCTGCTCACCGGGAACTGCAAGGTCTGCGAGACCCACTTCCAGGACCGCAACTCCAGGGTCACTCACGTCCTGTCCCACATCGGCATCTTCCTCTTCTCCTGCGACATGTGCGAGACCAAGTTCTTCACCCAGTGGCAGCTGACGCTGCACCGGCGGGACGGGGTCTTCGACAACAACGTCGTCGTCCACCCCAGCGACCCCCTGCCCGGGAAGGTGGCCGTGTTTGGGGGCGGGGGGAGCCCCGAGCTGGCCTGCGCTGCCTGCGGGAAGCCCTTGGCCAAAGATTTCCACACCGTCCGGAACCACCTCCTGGAGCACGTGAACCTGAAGAGCCAGACGTGCGGCGTGTGCGACCAGAGGCACCTGAGCCTCTGCAGCCTGATGTGGCACACCCTGTCCCACCTGGGCATCTCCGTCTTCTCCTGCTCCGTGTGCGCCAACAGCTTCGTGGACCGGCAGCTGCTGGAGAAGCACCTGGCCGTGCACCAGCACGTGGAGGAGGCTCTTTTCCAGTGCCACTTCTGCAGCCAGAGCTTCAAGCTGGAGGCGGCCTATCGGTACCACGTCAGCCAGCACAAGTGCGGCGGGAGCCTGGACGTGCGGGCGGGGTTCGGGGAGCGGCTCCAGCCGCAGGGGCTGCCCAAGAGGAAGCTGCCCGAGGAGTTCCTGAGCGAGGAGCTGGCGCTGCAGAGCCAGCCGGGGAACAGCAAGTACAGCTGCAAGGTGTGCGGGAAGAGGTTCGCCCACACCAGCGAGTTCAACTACCACCGGCGCATCCACACCGGCGAGAAGCCCTACCAGTGCAAGGTGTGCCACAAGTTCTTCCGCGGGCGCTCCACCATCAAGTGCCACCTGCGGACGCACTCGGGGGCCCTCATGTACCGCTGCACCGTGTGCGGGCACTACAGCTCCACGCTCAACCTCATGAGCAAGCACATAGGGGTGCACAAGGGCAGCCTGCCCCCGGACTTCACCATCGAGCAGACTTTCATGTACATCATCCATTCCAAAGAGGCCGAGAAGAACACGGACAGCTGATGGGGGCGAGGCGGGAGGAGCGAGCATTTTCGTTACGGAGGCTGTGGGAAAGAAAAAAAAAAGTGTCGTTTCTTTTATTTAATGGTCAGGCATCATGGATGGAATTCTCCTTTTCAGGTTTTTTTTTTTTTTGTTTGTTTGTTTGTTTGTTTTAATTTTTATTTTTTGTGCCTATTTAGGGCTTTTTTTAGATTGGTGGCGTTGTACAAATTAACAGCACGTGAGGTACATCACTGTTTCAAGGAGTCTGTCGTGTTTACTTAACTCTGGTCCTGTTAGAGGCCATCGAGTTCTGTGTTTTTAGTATTCCTCACTAGTTTTTGAGTCTAGAGTCTATTTTTTTTGAGCCTTCTGGCCCACTCAACCAGGCTAACCCTGAGCTTGTCCACAAACTGATGCTGCTAAGATTTTCACACCTGACCTCAGTGGAGAGGGACAGAGCCAGAGCAGGTGCTGGACTCGAAGGAAAGGAACAAAAAGGAAAGAAAAAAGGAAGAAAAAAAAAAAAAAAGACGTTCTGGGCATCCCTTGGGTTCTGCTGCTACTGCCAGAAGATGGGCCAAGTGTGTCCTGGAAATGGCCATCGCTGGGTCACCAGGGAGAGGAGCAGGAAGCGTGTGAGTGTGCGAATGAGGAGGGGGATTCCCACATTCCCAGGCCGTGGCTGTGACACACTCGCTCGTGCCCTGAGGAGGAGATGGAGCTACACAACCTCCCGGAGGAGTCTCTGGGCTGGAGAGGGAGGGGAAGCAGGTCCGTGTTCCCGGGAGGTGATTGGTGGTGGCCACGGAGAGCCGCTGGAATCCCCCGGCTCGGGGCCGCCGGACGCTCGGGACGAGACACGATGAAGCCGTTGCCTTAACTCCCTGGAAGGTACCTTCGAGGGCCCTTCTCCTGCCACGAAGGGATCCTCCCTGCCATGAAGGGATCCTCCCTGCCACGAAGGGATCCTCCCTGCCACGTCGTGGATCACCACGTCCTGGGCCTGTCTAGTGGCAAATGCGCGCTGTTGGAGCGATGTGAGTTTGTTCACAGAGCCGGAGTCGCAGCAGTGGCGGCCACTGGGGACCTCAGCTCGGCCTCTCTGGCCACGTGCCAGGCACTCCTGGGCACAGGGGGCTCACCTGGGCATGGGGGGGCTCACCTGGGCATGGGGGGCTCTCCCAGCTGCTTGCCAGGGCACTCCTGGACACGCAGGGCTCTCCGGAGTATAGGGAAGCTCTCCTGGGCATGGGGGGGTCTCCCAGCCGTGTGCCAGCTGCTCCTCAATGTGGGGGGCTCTCCCAGGCACAGGGGGCTCTCCCAGACATGTGTTGGGCGTCCCTTGGCAGGGGGGGCTCTCCCAGCCCCGTGTCGGGCGATCCTGGGGGTCACTCCTGGCCCCACCAGCGAGCTCAGCCCATGCTGACAGTGTTTACACCAGGAAGGGTGGGAATTGGCTTTTTCCCATGTTATCCTGCTGCGGGGCAGAGGTGGGGAGGAACAGATAATCCCGAGCTCGGGCTGCCCTTCGGGAACTCATTCTACCTCACAAACAGGAAGCGCTCGGGGCTCCCGGTGGTCACAGGTCGGCTCCTGCGCTTCTGTCAAGTTTTGCTGTTGCTGAACTAAACTAAACTAAACTAAACTAAACTAAACTAGTGATTTGCAAACCCCGGAAACTCACCCCGCTGCCCTTTCCCTGGGCAGGGACACCCGGGAAGGGCCTTCCCGTGGCGGGGGCCGGACGAGCTCGGAGCGCCCGGGGCCGCTCCCCCCACCCGCCGTGGCCTTGGGCAGGTCACTTCACCTCTTTGCCTCAGTTTCCTCATCTGTAAAATGAGGGTGGTGCCTCCCGTGGTACCCACCTACCTCCGGGAGCGGGGGGTGCCTGGGGCCTGCGCTCGGAGGAGGGGAGGCCCCGAAGCGAAGGTCAGCCCTGGGCTGGCCTGGCTGCTGCAGCTCTGGGGTCCCAGCTCCGGCCTCGTGGTCCCGGCTCTGGGGCCGCTGCAGAGCCGTCTTCAGCTGAGTGTGGTTTAAGTTTTACAGAAATAAAGGATCGTTTTGGGAAAGCTCGGGGCTCTGGGAGTCGGGGGGAGCTGGTGGTGCTTTGCTGGAGGCTCCTCTGAGCTGCTCTTTGGGTTCCAGGGTTTCTCTCATGGAATCACGGGATGGGTGAGGCTGGATGGGACCCCTGGGGGTCACCCAGTCCCACCCCGTGCTCACCCAGGGTCCCCTGGAGCGCAGAACTGCGGGCTGTGTCCGGCTGGGGACAGGGAAAGGGACAGGGATGGACACGACCTGCGCTGCTCTGGAGGTGGCGATGAAGGATGTGAGGGACAGACAAGGCTGGGAGAGCCTTGAGAGCCTCCTGGAACATTCCAGAAGCCGTGGTGAGCTTTGGGAAGGGCCGGGGCACAGCACCCGCAGCCCTGGATCTCAATAAGCTGTGAAGCAAAAGCCTTTTGTGCACATTAACCAAAAAGAGAAGCTTTTACACTGAAACACTTGACGGGCACAACCGGCCCTCGCTCCCAGCCCTGGGGGAAAGCAGGAGCCAGCTCTGATCCCTGGAATTTCTCTTGGCCTGTGATGTAATGGACCATTCCCACGTGGAACATCCTGCAGCAGGGGACAAGGGGACAGGTCTGGACCCACCACTGCTCCTCCTCAGGGGGGTTTCTGGAGGGATCAGAGACCTGAGGGCTCCCTCTGGGAGGGTCCTGAGCCTCCCTGAGCCTGCAGAGCTGTACAGGGATGTCACCCCTGGGATTCCTGTCCCCTTGTCCAGCTGGGAGCTCCAGTTCCACCCTCAGCTCCGTGTTGGGAGTGCCGGGGCTGTCGCTCCGTGCCTGGTTCTGTTCCTGCTCCAGCACTGTGGGCAAACCTGCTCCCTCCTGTCCCTGCTCCCCTCAGTGACTGCAGGGACACCCACCTACCTCCCCTGGGCCGGCCTGAGGTGTTTGCCAAGTGCTTTGGGGTCCTGGGGTAGTAGAGGGGGGTGCAGAGGGGAAATGCCGGGTCCTGGAGCCTCCCGGGGAGCTCCAACAGGGAATCCCCTTCCCGGGGCCTGCTCCGAGCCCATCCCCAACACAGTTCATTTTCCCCCTTCCCAACAGATCCAGGTCTCTCATCAGAGTAATGAAGCAGAAGAAAGAACCAGAGTTGAAATTGCTGTCTAACCTTTTCGTTAAGTTAATCGTAGGTACTGACCTCCTGCTATTTAAGTGTTTACTATCTATTTGCTGTAAAGTTTTGTATATTTTGTAAACTTTTCCCCCCAAAATCGTAGATGTCTAAAATCGTTGTACATCGGGTTCTTTTCTACTCCATTGTTCAGCACAAAGTGTGGTTTTTATTTAGAATAATAAAAAGGAAAACGTTGACCTCTTGTAGCTGCCTCTTCACAAAACCTGTTCCTCCCCGTGTGCATCCTGGCATTCCTGTCTCCTTGGGAGTGCCTGGGAAGCACGTGAGGCCATCCCAGTATCCTGCTCCCATGCTGTGCTGGGCAGGATCCCTGGTGCAGGTCCAGGGCTCTTCCAGCACTGGGAGTGGCAAAGGGTTGTGCCACAGGTTGTAGCATTCCTGTGGGATGCAGGGATGGGAGGAGGGAGGGCTGCAGCAGCCCAGTTAGGGAATTCCAGGGATTGTGTGCCTGGATGAGCCCCTGGGGGAGTGGTCTGGGGGGTAAAGGAGCCGGTGTGTCCCAGGAATGACTTGGGGCCAACCTGGGTCACCACCTGGGGCTGGGTGGGGGGTTATTTAAGGCCACTCTGGCCCTGAGATCTATGGACAAAGTTTCAGGTAAATGAAGAGAGGTAAAAGTAAAGTTTAATAGGTCAAATACCAAATTTTACATGTTTTAAGTAACTTGAATATATTGTTGCCCTGGTTTGTGTCACACATCAGGTGGTTTGTTGTTGTGTATTTGTCATCCATTTCGTCGCTGGAAGTGGCAGGGAATGGGCAAAGGGAAGCCCAGGGAGGATTTGGGGATGAAGGTGGTGGGTGCAGACCCCCAAGTTCAGCCTCAGCCTGGGGGAGTAACAGAATTAAGGAAGGGGAACAGCCTGAGCTGCTGCCCTGGACAGGGAGTTGCTGTGGTGAGGGGACTGGTGCCTTCCCAGTGTTCCTGTGTGAGACAGGGATTTGGTTTGTCCCCTCAGCGCTGGTGTCCCTGGGGGACCAAGGAATGTCCCTGCAGAAGGAACCCTGTGGTATTTAGGGATTTGCCCCGTTGCAGGACCCCTGGAACTGGCAGAGTCAGCCAGCCCAGTGATAACCCCACATCCGTGTTAACTCCCGGTCCTGAGCTTCTCCCAGAACATCCTGCTCCCCCCCTGCTCCCCGTGCTGCCAGCATCCTGCCCCCAGAACTGCTTATGCTCTGCTTTTTTCACAGCGTGTTTCTCGAGCAGCTCAAGGCCTTTGGTAGATTTATGGGCCCCTGTTGCTCTGTCACCTTCCCCCGGCGAGGGCAGACCCGCAGCACGGGGCTGGGATCAGAGTCCAGAGGAGAATGAACTTTCTCCGGGTGCTCCAGTTCCTTGCAGAGCACAAGCCCAGCCCTCTCTCCAGCTCCCAGGATTTCTGGACGTGCCCAGGCTCCCACGGGGGCTCTGATGGGAGGGGAAGGGCTGCTGGAGCCTTTTGATGTTGAGGAATGCACCCAGTGGCCTTAAATACCTGTGAGGGAACGCTCCAGAGGAGGCTGGACTGACGGGATGGGAGACCCAAACTGGGAACCCACCCCAGCTCCCGGCCCTGAATCTGGAGCAGCCCTGCCCAGTCAAATCCAGTTTAATTTGCTGCTGGGTTTGCAGAACTGCTCTCGAGGAGCTGCTGATCTCGGATCCCAATCGCTCCTCCCCTCGTCCCAGTCCAGGTCTGTGCCCTGCTCAGCCCCCACGGCTGCCTCGCCTTCCTCTCTCCGAGATCAGGCTCTGGACGTTTCTGGGGGCGGGGAGGGAGGTTTTTGTTCCAGAGGGTGGTTCCCTCTCTCCTGCTCGGGGTGTTGGGACAGTCTGGGGGTGCAGAAACACCCGTGATGGGGCAGATCGTGCACCCCAGCCCTGAGGCTTGGGGGGCACGGGGCTCAGATCCCAGGGGCGGGGTTGTGTTGGACCCCGAGTGGGGCAACTCACTGCTTTATTACTGCAAAGGTTTCATTTGGGGAACAGGGAATCTCTCTGATTCTTTCTTTAGCTAAATAGATCTGCCACAGCAGCACTGCAGAGGAAAGATGTCTGTAGCTCCTGCACCACCTCCCCTCATGCCTGGCACCCTGTCCTGCCGTGGGAGGCGCCTGGCAAGAGAGGCTGTGCCAAAGCAAAGTGTCTCCTCATCACCGGGAAAACCGATCCCAGTGTCCCTGGGGAGCTGCTGCCACGGGGGGTGGGAGGGTCCGACCCCCCTTAGTTGGGGGGGTTGTTGTCCTTGGAGATGACTATGGAGTGTTGTGTGGTGGAGGAGGAGTTGCCGGCGCCCTTCAGGGCGCCGTGGTCCTTGGGGATGTACTTGACCACGGCGGAGATGAGTTTGCTGCGGAAGTTCTTGCTGAGGAAGTTGTAGAGGACGGGGTTGACGACGCAGTGGAGCATCGTGAAGCAGTCTATGATGTCGTAGAAGAAGTAGAGGAAGCGGGCGAAGGTGCAGTTGAGGATGATGTGGTTGCCGTCGAGGGTGAGCAGCGTCAGCACGACGTGGAAGGGCAGCCAGCTGATGAGGAAGACCACGATGTAGGCGTAGA